ACCCGGGTGGCTAGGATGATTACCTCCTGCAAAAAAAAAGAAAAAAAGAAAGAAAACTTGCCCACCGCGGTGCTCCTTCCCTACGAGAGCCCTTATTTGAAAACTGGCCTGTCCGTGATATAACACGACATAACGCGTTTCATTGAGTTCATTTCTTGATATGCCGACATTGTGATGGGTGGTCCCCCCCCCCCAACTACATTTTCACCGATATTTCTGATAGAAATAGGAGAATGCCACCACTGGGATCTCAAAGATGGATAAGAGGTGTGATGGGTAAGCATGGCACTTGGAAGTTGACCCACCGTGTCCGACTCCGTCTGTATCAGATAAAGATCAGTCCAGAACTATCCATTTTGTGATATTGACAACCCTTCCAGATGAGACGAGCAGAAATATCAATTCTGTGTAATCGATTCGCCGCGCGCGGCAGTCGCGGACCATTCGCCTCATTATTACAGTTCTAGCGTTCTTCATACAACGCAATGTATATGCGATTATTATTTTTGACATGATTCTAATGTTATTTCTTTTGCTCCTTTAGTTCTTACTTGGTGCTGCAATCTGCTACACTTCTTCACGCGCGGCGTCTATCGCCGCGTCGCGACCATTCCGATTCTATTGCACCACACCCCTTTTTTTACAGCGGCAACGCTTGTCGTGATTTCTGATGACTGTGAGAAAGAAGAATAACTGATTTACTAACTCAGGACTCGGGAAAAAAATCTAAGTCTCTCTGCCATCCAGGACGAGAAACTGCCCGTTTACCGAAATCTTGGCATCAGGAAAACTATTTTTTCACACAAAATAAGAGTTATTGACAGGTAAATAAAAATAGATCAGATATCGACGTTATTTAGAGTCCACTTCAACTAGTGTGACAGATCACGTTCGATAAGTGGAACAGAATTGCAAGCTCACTGGGGAAGTATGATATAATTAATTGATAAATTAACCATTAGGAATGAAGAGGAACAAATAATTAGATACAATTGGATGGATTTCAAATAATAAAGTGACCTCAGCGATCATGCAGGTACAGACTCGAACTGGCAGTATAGACCAATAGCATGCCTTCGATAGATCGCAGCGGGTACAGTATCCAGGGCTTGTTCAGGGTTAGACTGACCATTTAAGTATTAGCAGTAGCTCGACCACTACTTTTCAACACTTCAGCCCATAAATAGGTAAAAATAAAGGTGAGGAGGACTTGAAAAATCAAGAAAAGTTAATAGAAGCTGTAAAAATATTTATCTGTCGGGTATGAAACAACTTGAAAAAGGAGAAATAACCACTCCCTCAATTGGTTCCTTCACGAGTAGTCCCAAGGTGTCATTGCAATCAAAAATACATCTTGAAGTTGATCTGAAACTTGCTTCCCCGAAAATGATGTGGGATGGGTTTAAATGAGAGTGGGTTGGCACACAACAAGGTAATCCAACCTACGATCAACGAGCGAAGATCAGGGACACCTTTGTTTCGGCAAGGAATCGAAGATCAGGTGGGCCGGACATGTTATGCGATATGGTGATGATCGTTGGACCACGGCGATTACTGGCTGTATCCCTCGGGACGTCAATCGAACACTTGGACGGCCGTCAGCGTAATAAGCAGACTTCTTCACAAAAGCTGTGAAAGAAGGGAATGCTAAGCCTCGTGTTCCTGAAACGAGGACATCCACTGGAACACTATGGCTCGCGGCAGGGCGAAACGTGGACGTTACTGACGCCCGCCGCTCGAAGAAATCGCTGATCGAAGGGACAGCAGGTTATACAGGTGAATACGACGTAGCGATGGGACTGCACCTGACAACTTCCTTGTGAACTACAGACTACAGAAGTTCTGATTGGACCCAAAAATGGGTAAACCTGTCCGTTCAGTTTCTGGGTTGTTTGAATTCGAACAATCCATTGACAAGATGGAAACAACGAGTACTTCTAAAACAACCCACCCGATCTCTGATTTTCTGAAGAAAATAATGCGCTGTCCGATTGAATGTCCTCTTGGCGAAGTGGCCGATTGATCTGAAAAAGAAAGAAAATTACACAAATTCATAATTATGAAACTGGTGGAATCGCAGAAAACCGCAGGGTGCCATTAAAAACGTCTTTGAAATGGTGAGTCAATTTCCTTTGGAGATAAAGAGAAGTCTTAAAATTCGGCTATAGAAAATCACAAAATCAGACAATTTTTTCAAGAAGTTCTCAGCCTGAGTGATTAATGGGAACACCAAGAAAAACTAGAAAGGAATGGAACCGAGCCCAGAATTCGTAGGTTTCCTTGCTATTCCCGCCATGAAAAAGTTTGGAAATTGGAAGGCTTGGACGTAAGGTAATCGAAATGATTACTTAAGGGCTACCTTGTCATGCCATTTCAAAAATAAAACTGTAACCAGGGCCTAAAGGCCTGCTCCGAGACGTGCCCTTGCATATGACTTTCATTCAAAATCCTGGAGGCGTTTGGATGAGTATGTGGCCTTTACAAGAACGGGCTCTCAATGGAGAAATTTTTATTCGACCACGGACCCTCGCACCAATTAACCGACCCTGCGCGATGGAATGCCTAGATGGACATGGAGCTAGGATTAGATCCTACGGATCGTGAGTGTGTTAGTGCGCCACATGGCACTGCGCCAATTCTATCAATCGTCCCTTGTGACTTATACCCTTACTTATAGGTAGAGAATCAAAGTGTCCAGGAATTCATAAGGTATCCTCCAAAGATGTTGCGAGGGTCTGAAGTTTTAAGTCAAAGCCAGCCCAAAGCTGATTAGGGGAACTAAGGGGTTTCACCTGGGAGCTTGATGCCGGAGGGTTTGTAATGCCTTGACCGTTTCAGATGCGTGACTCGGGATAATTCGACTGCAAAACAGCCTTTTCCCATCGCAATGAAACAGATTGCGGTTGACGTCAGCGATTCAATTTAGAGCGTACAATGGGCAATTGGATGTGTCGAAAGAGTTTCATAACGTGTTTCAGGCCATTTATGGGGGAATCGATTGAAGGAGTTCTGGTCGCTCCATGAGCGTTTTGGAAGTACTAACCAGTGAAACTCTCGGAGAGAGTAAGTAATCAATCAAGAAGGTGACCGCAAAGAAGAAGGGTCTCGCGGATGCTGCGCTAGTTTTTCCGGTATGGCTGGGTAAGGGCGCAAGAATTTCTGGGAACTACACCTTCTCCAGAAACCTTGACTAACATGAGACTGGATTGATTTGAAGCGAATGTGACGCTTTTGAGAATCGTTTTTCCAGCGAAAAGGCAAAGTTACGCACTTATCGAATGAATGTCTCCTCGCACAACTCGTTGCTGTCGGTGGCGGAGATGATGATGGTGGAGGTTGTGACGGTTGTGGAGGCGCTCGGGGAATTGGTTTTGAGGGGACATGGTGCTGGAAGCGATGATAGGCCTCGAGAATCGCTGCCCACTGAAAAACTTGAGAAATTGTATCTTTGGCGTTGAATAAGGATAAACAATTTCGGCGTCAGAATTTAGAAAAACTCAAATTAGAAATAGATCCTTCTAGTCCTGATCATCTGGCTCTCTGGCCTTTCAAGACTCTTGATTTGTTGATAGTGTAGACTGAGGAAACGATGAAAATCTAAGAAACACGTCTGCTTTTTTGTTTGAAAGGGGGTACATTAGAATATTCGTGAGCTATGCCTGTGATCGAATGCCACCGTATGCGCTACCATCGACGCGGAGACAGAGTCTTCTGACAGTTTTTCTGTAAATTGCGCCTTCGAAATATCAACCGGTATTGAGAATTTACTGATAAAAATGAACAAGACTTGAAAGAAATGCGTTGCAGGTTCCCAGATGTGGGGACACCTATGTATATACCGTAAGTGAGATGATATCTTGATGATTGAGTTAATGTAGCCAACAATTTCAGCTTTTGCTTTCGGTGTTATGGGCACGGTTTCTTACTCCCTTCAAATATTACCCTTCACCTACCGTATCTAGCTTTTCATTGGGAACGCAATCAAGTATGTAGCTTTTTTCAATATCAAACAACACACTTTCTCGTCGAACTCGGCGTCGGTCAGGCAACCATCGTAGATCCAGTTTGATGGTTCGAAAAGAGCGTAGCGAATCTGAAATTTCTTGATCAACTGCAACTTTCGAATGCACCAATTATAGTAACTTGACAGTGAACGGTGAAGGGAAGGTAAAAGAAGAAGAACAATGAAGGGAAACAAGTTCCAAAAGATCTGAACTTATTTCTTAGTCATTCTCAGAAACATCGGAAAGGCACAAGCTGGGCTGTGGTATCTCCTCCCCTAAAATCGCATGGCGCTCGCCACACCCGGCCGCGCACAGTCGCGCAACATGAAGGAGGGAACTTGAATTCCCAGTGGGCCGATACGGTAGCCGCCGCGGTACCGTTGCCGCTTGCCAAGGGAATTCGGGGAGAAGTACCGCCACCCCTCAAGCTGCATTCTAGCAGACCATTCATTGGAAATTGGCAGGTGAACGGATTGAACACTGTGAAGGACAGAAGTGTGATCTAGACACAAGTGTTAGATAACAGGTCGTTAGGGTCCTTTATATTCGAGAGACCATTAACACAAATTGTATTGGGCCCATGCGATTATGATAGAATTTTTTTGACTCTTACTCTGGGTTCACTTATTGCTGTTCACTATTCTCTGGGGATTGGTTATCACTTGGTGTAAGGGCGCACCTCAGGGCGTTTTACTTTACTAAGACCCTATCCAATTCACAAACCTGTTGTGCCGAATTTACCTACATCAACAGTGTTCTTCCTAAATAACGAGCACACAAACCGGTTTCGTATGATGTGGTGGATGGATATGTCGTGGCATTGGAGTAAGTTTGCGAGTTGTTCCGGCTGGTGAGCTGTGCTGCTGTGGTAGTGAGAGCGTCGTCGTTGTGACATTATCTGGAGGTGGCTCGATTAACATCTTCGGGGAAGCGGTTGCCGGCTCCTCTGCTTCGGTTGCCGGCTCCTCTGCTTCGTGGGGCTCCTCCTAGGAACGAGTTCTTTTCAAATTCTTTTCAAATTGTATTTATTACCAAGGAACCCCAAAAATCTACAGCCTTTGAGTTATTTACTATAACTGTTTTCGAAGATTGGATAGATGTTGGAAAAAAAAGCAGAATCATACTACTTGGGATCTACGGTATTAGCGGTACGGATTTTTTTGTTTGAAGGCCACAAATTTCTTCAGACCTCCTCTTTTACCCTTCCAACGCTTGACGATAGTTCATATTCTCAAAATCGGGCAGTAAAGTCTTGAGGTTGGAATGATCTTCGTTATTATTGATGCAGAGGAGCATTTTGTCTGATTGCGAGATGATCTGTCAAGAGGAAAAGTAGGGACCTTCTCGGTTTATGAGGATTTTGATACATAGGGGATTCCAAGTGCTCCATAGGACCGGTGGATAAACTCACCTCTGTTACGACGTCTGGTAATGGCTCTGCTGGTACCACATGCTTGCCTATTCCTTTCTTATCAAGAGCTTCCGACACTATTTTGAGGTCCTGAACTAGGTTATCTTGTCTTTCGCATAACAAACGATACAGATGAATGGACACCTTTTTTGCCTGGTCCATGTCGCCGACGTTGGAGCTCAGAGTTTGGCAATCCATCTGCGAAGTAAATCGAGCTTTCGGTTTCTTCGGTGCCTGCAAAACTGACGAGACTCTGGGAGACCTACTTGATTTTGAATGGTGCAACTTCCAATTACAGTCCATCGTGGAATCATGGAACTGCCGAAAAAGTGGAAGGAAGTGCGGTGCAGTTGTGTGGAAAGTATCTGCTGGAATTTTCGCCAAAGTTCGGATTTCTCCCGAGAATTTTTGGAGCCACCATAGAAATATCATAAGGGGACGCTATTCACTTGCATGCGTATAACATATCTGAAGACTCCATTATATAGCAATCGGTTGCAAGGATCGAGCTTCACACTCGACCTTTTCGTTTCAGGCTATGAAGCATAGAAAGAGGTGTGCACAGAACCGCTGGTAAAAGGCTTCAAAGGCACAGTTCATGTCATTTTTAGGTACCCGTTTTTATCGAAAAGCGGAAGTATAGATTGGGAGTAGTTCATCGGTAGTGAAGAAACCGAGGGAATTCGCCGATTCCGAGAAAAATATGGCTCCCCAGAAGTAGGGAAAGAAGAGCTTGGACGAGATTGCCATGATGGAGTCTTCAGATATGTTATACGCATGCAAGTGAATAG